GGGGAAGCAGCGGCCAGGCGCTGAGGATGCGTCCCCTGCTCTGACGCACGGCATCTGCTCCCGTCACCCTCCCCATGGACCCTCTACAGTGCCCCTGGCTCGGGGCTGTCTTGGCTGGGCTCGGGGCAAACTGCTCTTATCTCTGCCCCAGCTTCCCGGTGATAAGGGTGGCATGTCTGGAGGTTAACGGGCCTGACTGTCCCCCCCACCATCCCCGGCTCTAGCTGTTGCTGTTATTTGTCACCAAGCAGCCACAGCCACAATTCAGCCCAGTCTCTGCAAACAGCCCCCCAGCCCCTCTGGTGCCCGGGGCCGGCACCCACAGTGCCAGGCAGGAGCCCACCTCCCGCAGGCAGGGCCCAGGGAGGAGTTGCATGGCTGAACAGGGCACTGCCTGCAGCGAGGAGATGCACGGAGGTTGTCAGGAGCTGCGGGGACGGAGAGCTGTGGTGGGATGCAGGTGTCCCTGGGCCATTCATGCTAACCTCAGGGGTCCCTGCCCGGTGTGGCAGAAGACTCTGGAGAAGAGCAAAGCTCCCCTGTCCTGTTCACCCCAGTGCTCCATCCCTACCAGGGACCCCGTCCTCTACGCAGGGGGATCCTGCTCCAGCAGCATCCGTCCCCCTGCCCTGCCCAGGGGGGCTCTGCTGGGAGCATCCCTGCGGGCAGCCCTGGCAAAACCCACAGCTCTCTCCAGCCCTGGGAGCGCACTGGGGTGTAAGAGCCAGCTTTGCTCCAAGCTGGGGGATTTGCTCCAGAATCAAAGCCAAAGGAGGAGACGCAGGGCGTGGGGTGCTGATAGTGGCTTTCCCCCCCCACACTGCGCTTGGCCAGCTGCGCACAGGCTCCGGCAGCTGCGACAGGGCGGAGGCGGCAGGGAAGATGCACAAAGCCCTGGTACCCTGTTTTTTGGGCAGGGAAGGGAGCTAGGAGGGTCTGTGAAAGCAGGAGAGGTGTGGGGTCAGCACGGCAGCTGGCAGCACCCCAGGATGGAGGAGCCGGGGGGCTCAGAGGGGAACCTGGGGGATTGTCGGACCTGCCGGGCTTTGGGAGGTGGCTCTCGGGGAGGCACAGAGCAGCCAAGCTGACAGCCCCAAAGTTTCAGCTGGTTTTAATACTGTCAGAGACACCCCGGCGCGGGGCCGCCGCCGCCATCCCACCCGGGCTCCCTTGACGCTTGCCAAAGCGAACCCACTGCCGGCCCGGCCCCACGGCTGCCTTGTATCCGAGCAGCGG